ATTGGCTGTGGGTTTGCCGTAGATGGTCTCTATCCATTCAAGAAATGTTACTTCTATATCTATTATCTTAAGTGTTCTGATCAAGAAAGAATGCTGGATACTGTCAAAAGCTTTTTCTGCATCAGTTGAGAGAATGATATGGTCTTTTTTTTTAAATTTGTTTATGTGATATATTATATTTATGGATTTATGTTTATTGAACCATCCTTGGGACCCTGGGATGAAACCCACGCGGTCGTGATGTATAATTTGTTTGATGTGCTGTTGGATTCTGTTTACTGGGATCTGATTGAATATTTTTCCGTCAATATTCATTAGAGATATTGGTCTATAATTTTCTTTTCTTGTTGGGTCTTTTCCTGGTTTGGGTATCAGGGTGATATCTGCTTCATAGAATGTTTTGGGAAATATTCCTTCAAAAGGTTAAGTAATATAGGTACTAGTTCCTCTTTAAAGACTGGCAGAATTCTGATGTGAAGCCATCTGGTCCCGGAGATTTCTTATAGTTGATGCTATTTCAGAACTTATTATAGGATTGTTCAACATTTCTAGGAGGGTGGCATGTTTCCAAATATTGATCTATTTCCTTCAGATTTTCATACTTCTGAGAATTCAGTTGTATATAATATTCATTAAGGATTTGTTGAATTTCTGAGGAGTCTGTTGTCATTTGGCCTTTATCATTTCTGATTGATGAAACTGGGGATTTTACTCTTCTACATCTGGTTAAGTTACCCAAAGGTTTATTTATTTTATTGACCTTTTTCAAAAATAAACTCTTTGACTGGTTGATCTGTCATATGATTCTTATGTTTTCAATTTCATTTAGTTCTGCTCTACTTTTAGTGATTTCTTTTCTTCTGCTGGGTTTAGGGTTGGAATGTTCTTCCTTTTCCAGTTGCTTGAGATGTCCCATTAAGTTGTTGACTTCCTCTCTTTCTATTCTCTTGGGGAAGGCTTGCAATGCTATAAATTTCCCTCTTAGAACTGCCTTTGCAGTACCCCAGAGGTTCTGATAGTTCATGTCTTCATTATTGTTTTGTTCCAAAAATTTGGTAATTTCCTTCTTAATCACATCTATGACTCTGTTATCATTCAGAATGAGGTTATTTAGTTTCCATGTTTTTATATGCATATGAATATTCCTGTTGTTACTGAGTTCAACTTTTATTCCGTGATGATCCGAGAAAAATACAAGGAATGATTTCTATTCTTTTAAATTTGCTGAGGATAGACTTATGACCTAAGATGTGATCAATTTTGGAGGATGATCCATGGGCTGAGGAGAAGAATGTGTATTCAATTTTGTTAGGATGAAATGTCCTGTAGATGTCTGTTAGATGCAAATGTTGAATGGGCAAGCTTAAGTCTAAAATTTGTTTGCCGAAGGAGTGTTAAAATCTCCAACTGCCGAAGGAGTTGTTAAAATCTGCCAAAGGAGTGTTAAAATCTCCAACTGCTGAAGGAGTGTTAAAATCTCCAACTATTATGGTGCTGGAGGAAATCAAGTTTCTCATGTACATTAGTCTCTCTTATAGAATGAGGCGCATTCTAATTGGGTGTATAAATGTTGATAATTGAAATATCATCATGTTGAGCGTTGCCCTTAACAAATATGAAGTGGCCATCCTTATCTTTCCCTACTTTTGTTGGTTTAAAGCCTATTGTATCTGTGAATAAAATTGCAACACCTGCTTTTTTCTGATTCCCATTTGCCTGAAGTATAGATGACCATCCTTCACCCTGAGTTTATGTTTATCTTTTAAGGTAAGGTGAGATTCTTAAATGCAGCAGATGTCTGACCTGAGTTGTTGTATCCTGTCAGCCAATCTGTGTCTCATGAGAGGTCCATTCACCTTAAAAGAAAGTATTGATAAGACAGATAGTATTTTGAGTTTTGAGTTTTTCAAAGGTCCAGTGGACATTTTTAATCCTTTCACCACTGTGGAAGTTGGAATTTGATCAAAAATTTCTGAGTGAGTTTACTTTTGTGGTGGAGAATTGTGCTGGTCATTATGGAGGATAGGTCTTAGACTATCCTGGAGAGCTGGTTTAGGTATGACAAATTTCTTCAATATGTGAATGTCATTAAAGTATTTAATTTCTCTACATAAATGAAACTCAGTTTAGCTGGATACAGTATCCTGAGTTGAAAGTTATTTTGTTTAAGGAGATTAAAGGTCGATGACCACCCTCGTGTAGCTTGAAAGGTTTCATCAGAATGATCTGCTGTCATTCTTATGTTCTTCCCCTTGTAGGTTATGGTGTTCTTATGTCTTGCAGCTTGCAGAATTTTCACCTTCATATTAACTTTGGCAAAGCTAATTATAATGTGTGTATGAGAATTTTTATTTGGATTGAGTTGTGCTGGTGTTCTGAAACTGTCTCCTGTCTGAATTTTAGAATCTCTTTGCATGTCTGGAAAAATTCTCTTTGATTATTTCAAGAACTAAAGCATCTGTATTCTTCGCAGCAATCACCTTCAGGTATTCCTATAAGGTGAATATTAGATCTCTTCAAATTATGCCAGAGCTCTCTGAGAGAATGAACCGTTTTTGTTCTCCACTTTTTTTCCTCTTTGAGCATTTGGGAGCATTCAAAAGCTTTGTCTTCAATGTCAAAGATCCTTTCTTCTGCCTGCTCCATTGTCTTACTGAGGTATTCTACTGTATTTTTCAGATCTTTGAGGGCTGCAAGTTCTTGCCTCTATGTGTCAAAATCTTTGGTGATTTTTCTTTGAATTCGTTGAATTCTTGAGACATCTTCTGAATTACTTCTTGAAATTCTAATTTCATCTCTACCTCCATTCTGTTGATCTTATTTGCTATCCACATTGTGAACTCCATTTCTGACATCTCAGCCATTTGTTTATGAAAGGGATCATGTGCTGTGTCTGCCACATCATTCCTTGGGGGAGTTGATCCATTCTGAATATTCATGTTGCCAGAGTTTTTCTGCTGATTCTGCTCCATGATTGTTTTTCACCATTGACTAGATGGGCAGGTAAGGTGAAATTGTATTGGGAGTTCCTGGAGTTGTGGTTAACCAGCCCTTTGTCAAGGATCTGAGACTGATGACTACAGCTTTTCCCCCTAGCTTTGCAAAGGACCTGTACAGTATTACAGTCTGAGGCTGGGGAAACCTGCTTGCTGTGGTGGAGTTAGATGGTTCTGTCTTGTATTCAGCTGGTTCTTGTGCAATCCTAGTGTATCAGTAACACTGGTGAAGTCTTGGCTGAAGTTGCTTTCTTGGAGTCAGAGCTTGCCTCAGCAGAGGTGACCTGCAATTATTGCTCTTCTCTCTTGGCTCCACTCCCAGTCTTCAGCTTAATTGGGTACTTTCTGGACATTATCCTTCCCTCTTGATGGGAGGTTCTGTTGGAGGCTGGCTCAACCTGGCCATCTTGCCCCTCTGACCTGGGAGTAAACACACCTACATACCCCCCCCCACCTTCTCTCCTCCTACCTACAGTGGGGGGACACACCATCCTGCCCCCCCAGCCTCTCTCCTTGACAGGAGGAGAGACTCAAGTGTGTGGCCTGCAAGTCTTATTATTACGGTCTCCCTTTATTATCTCTAAGAGGACTTTTTCTTCATATCACTTCTCAGTGTAAATGGCATTATCTTACATCACACCATTAGAGTACAAGCCTTCTGAGGACAGAAATATACCATTTCTGTATTTTGCTCACCATTTTATTTTTAGCACCTACCATGCTCAATAAATGTTTGTGGTTATATACAAAAAAAATTAGTATCTGAAATTCCTGTGTTTCAAGCAAGAATGCAGTGGTGCTTTCAAGAAGGGCACCTGATGGAATTTGGACAAATGTGCAATTTGCAATTCCAGACTTTTTTTGTAAAAACTTATAAGTTCTCCCATCTTCTGGGAGATTCACATTTCCTTCACGTATGGAAAATAAAATTAATATAGAGTAATAAGTAGCATTTGGTGAAAAATATATACCAGATCTTGATGATAAGTTTTAAACTTCAAAATTCAGCTATTACTGAAATTGTAATTGCTGTTTATAAAATAATTTTTACTACTCAATCCAGTTTTATTTGGTTCTGTCATATACAACATAAAATTATAATACAAAGAGCAAAACTCTATACATTGCTACCAAATAAATCACTATTTGTGATGATAAAGAAGAATAGATAACATGAAGACCTTAAGGATGTAGATTAAACTGGGCAGGCAGAGACTGAGTTCAGGGTAAACATTGAAGATTTTAGGATGTTAATTGAGTATATTTTGTAAAATTATGGATGATATGTAGAAGACAAAACAGAGTGTGTCTGGTGCTACAAATTAGGCATACTGAGTTGTTGGTCCTAGTAGCTTCTTTATTATTGAATATATTAAACTGCATTTAAGTGACAAATTTGAGTAAAAATAGAGAGTTGGAAATCAACTGCACATATGCGAGTATTGAAGTTGAGGGACTGGATGAGGTCAATAATAGTTAATGTATAGAATTTTAAAAAGCAGATGGAGAAACATCTATAATTTTTTAGTACACTTGTTTGCTTGTATGCTACCCTTTGCAAAAACCATGTAAACTTCCTGACAACTATTATTAATTCATCTTTGAGTCTCCAAAACCAAGCACAATGACTGGCAAATTATAGTGAATCAGTTTTTACATCTGTTGAATAAATCAAAAAAACATGAATTATTTTAATCATCTCATAGGGAGTCATGTACATTTGGACAAAAATAAAGATTGTTATCATCTTATTTCTCTTATAAACATGTCCCATCTTCACATGTTACAAACCTCTCCCTGATGGTTGACAGTTGATTCTACTTTTTAGAGAACTTGACCACCTCACATGAGTCTTCTGGATGATTGGCCTGAGTTTTATTTTTACATTTACAGCTATAACCTTCTCCATTCTTAGCATACCAGGTACTGATGGAAATGTAATATAACTTTTTAAGTGAGGAAGTTCTATTATTTCTTAATTTATATTTTCTCTCTTCTTCGTAGGATGTGAATGGCATTATAAAATTGTATGTGCTGGGGATGAGGGATGGTCCTTTTGTGCTGTGAGAATAAATTTGAAATCTTCAAAATTGCCTGGTGTTCAGTAGAATAAAAGATCTCCCAGGGAGGAAAATTAAGCTGTAGTGTTATCTTAAATATCTGGTCACAAATCTGGGTTTGAGTGTTTTGTAACTATTGAGATTAGACCAGATTCGGGGTCTAATTTAGGTGGTGGGAGACACAGACTTTGCATCAGTAGTGATATTAGGGATAAGGTGTTATATCACCTTTTCTACCTATATCTTACTCTAGTATTCTATTTAGTAGGTGCTTCACCTACAGTAGGAGAGATGTATCTTTTCTGTCTACCATGTACCCAGATTTGCATATTGGGATAATTCCTATTTCTTTATATTTTTCTCCTAGGAATAAGAGAGACCAGGCCCTTCTTTATCGTTCTATTTAGATTTCAAAAAGTGACATAAATTTCTAAAAACAGTATTTTGGTTTTGGTGTAAACAATGGATCCATCTTGTTCAGATCCAAGGATCCAATGGATCCATCCACTTCAGAAGAGTATGGAAAAGAGGCATCTGTATGTCTAAAATTGCCCACCCACTTGTTAGTATCAAGCTTTTTCAAACACATGAAATTGAGATTCATTTTAATTTCATGCTCATAAATCTTTTTTGATGAGTATTTGTAATTTTTCCCAGATAACCTGAATCCTCAAATGTTCTCTATGGAACTTCCTACTGGGAATGGGCATTAAAGACCCTGGGTCTCTCCAGATAGGATTTCCACACTTAATATGTCTCAAAAATCCAGGTACCAGGTTCTGCAACCTCACATCCATAGCAACAATGTTTTTACATTTCAGTTTTTTTAAGCCACTAAAATGTTGTTTTGTTTTAAAATCCATTTCATGATTTCCTATGATTTCAAGGAGATAGAGATGGAAAGGTTAATTTTTTCATTTTAGAAGGAAGAAACTGTGCCTCTGAAGAGGTTAAGATATTTCCATGATCACCCAGAGAATACGTAGAAAGGTGCACATGAGCACATTTCATCTGGCTCTGGGATCAAGAGTTAGTCCTCTCCCTTCTCAGGTTCTCCAGGGTAGAGAGTTCAAGTGCATTAGTGGGGTAAAATGATATAAAGTCAGTGATGTTCAAGGGACACAAGATGAGAGCTATGGAGGTCATTTTTTTCCATATCTAGGTGTGAAACCTTGACCTTGAAGAAGCCAAAAACTTTTCCCAAGGAACAAAGGAAAGTATTTCAAGTGCCTCATTTGAAACGACTGCTGCAAGTGCTTAAACATAAGTAGAGCTAGATCAAGTGTATGGCTGTGGAATTCTAGGGGTGGCATGGGATAAATGGGGGAGAGCGTAGAGTTTCTAGGTGTGGATAGAGGAGATAAGTGAGGACTAATGTGCACTGGTGATGTGGTCATATTCAGTGGGGAATGACCAGGTAACTAGTTCATCCTTTCATTCAAAAGTTCATTGTTCTACCATAGTCTCCTCTTTTTTCTCCAATCTGTAGGAGAGATATGTTTCAGGGCAGAGATGACAGAATCCTACCACAACTTGGATGAGAAGTCAGACTATGACAACCCAATCTTTGTAGCACCTGTGGCTCAAGGGGGTAAGGGTTCTGGGCCTATAAACCAAAGGTGGCGGTTCAACCCACTCTTATTAGTTCCAATGAGCAATTCAAAAGTCATCATTTCTTCAGATAAGAGAGAAGTGAGATCTGGCCAGTATGCAGGAACCCTGAAGAACTGATGAAGGACAATTATGGTATCCTAGGCTCTTCGGATTTCACATCAGGGGAGTGTTACTGGGAGTAGATGTGACCAATAAACATTCTTGGATCCTGGGTGTATATGTTAAACAAGGTTTCCCATTCAATGAGAAGGTTCATAACACAGCAAATGTACATTATCAACTTAGAAATAGCTACTGGGTTATAGGGTTAAGAGAGAAATCTCAATATACTGATTTACAGGATTCTTGCCCTTTCAGTCCTTTGCCCGTCTACCTGACTGTCCCTCCTAATCGTATTGGGGTTTTCCTAAACTATGGCACTGGCCCTGCCTTATTTTTCAATGTCACAGACCATGGGTCTCTCATCTATAAGTTCTCTACATGTCTTCAATATCCTGTTCATGCATATTTCAATACTATGGCATGTCAAGTCCACAAGACTCTGTGCTGACCATGTACCTAAACCTTCTTGCATACTTGGCCACTTCCCTGCAGCACCTCTTTCTTGCCATGGGTGCATGTTGTACACCTGAACTCATCTGTGTTATTATAACCATAATTTCCTTGCCATCTTCAACACCCCTCATAATCCACATCCTCATAACCCAATTCCCTCTGACACTGACTAAGAAGATAAAGGAAAACTTTCTTTTTTTTTTGAGACAGAGCCTCAAGCTATCCCCCTGGGCAGAGTGCCATGGCATCACACTCACAGCAACTTCCAACTCCTGGGTTCAAGCGAGTCTCCTGCCTCAGCCTCCAAAGTAGCTGGGACTACAGGCGCCCACCGCAACGCCTGGCCATTTTTTGGTTGCAGCCATCATTGTTGTTTGGCGGCCCCAGGCTGGGGACTTGAACCCGCCACCTTAGGTGTATGTGGCTGGTGCCTTAGCCGCTTGAGCCACGGAAAACTTTCAACAACCTTTCTATATTATTGTGCTCACTAAAGAATGAGCTTCCCTAGCATGTCCCTTATTCAACAGAGTTAAAGAGAAACTGTCATAAACAGCATACACTCCAAGTAGATATTTTGTATCTAGAGTAACTTGAGTTCAAATCCTGTCTCTCCACACACTAGCAGTGTAATCATGATTAATATATTCATATGGCTGTGCTTATTTTCTCAAAATAATTTTGCCATTAAAAATGTCAGCTGAAGTAAGTTCTAGTGTTCTACTTCATAGTAGAGTGATTAGTTAGTTAACAATAGCATGTTGTATATTTCAAAATAGCTAGAAGAGAGGATTTGCAATGTGCTAATCAGTAAGAAATGACAAGTGTTTAAAGTGATGGATATGCTAATTACCATGATTTGATAATTACACTATGTATACTTATACGGAAACATCACACTGTACCCCATAAATATGTAGAATTATCATATGCCAATTAAAAACAAAATAAAAAGCAATACTTACATTCTACTTTGGATCATTATGCAAAAATAAATTCATAAAGTAAAAAGCATCTATGTGTCTCATCTTAATATATATTTGTTCTACTAATTACTAAACACAATAAGCTATGTTAGTGACTCATGAAACAAGTTCAGGGGAACTAGGGTTGATTTACTGAATTCTCATTTTTTCGATGTCAGACACGACTATCAAGACTATTCCAGTTTTGTCTTTGGTATAAACACACACGCACACAATTTAGTTTTTTTATTTTAATTCCGGTGTTTCTATATATTAGCCCCTATCAAGTAAACTAAATTCTATGGGATTCAGTCCACTTGTAAATATCATTTTCAAAAAAAAGAAATTTATGTGGTATAGTATTATACAAAATAAACAATAGGATAAATAATATTTTTAAGTACTTCTATCATTTTTAGCACATAAAGTATAATCCAGTGTGGTATCTATTCTTGACTTCCTCTCACTGTGACTGAAATAATTTTTAAGAATATGATACAGCTTATTTTCAAAATTATTATTCTACTTTAAGAAATAGAATAACCTAATCAAAGAATTACAGATTTTTTCACTTTAGAAAATTTTAAAATGCTTATGAATGAAAAAAATCTTTGTGCTATTAACTTCATGGCTGCCTAATATTAATCATTTTTTAAAATATTTCAGAGTAATTAAATTTCTCTGGTAAAATTTACCTGTTTTCCTACCTTTAAAAATGTATTTAATATTATTCCCAGTGATACAGGTAGAGTCCGAAGTACAAGTGTGATATTTCTCAACAGTGGTTTAAGCCAATTTTTGTGTATCTCGGTTAGTATGATAGTTTTTGGGAATGAAGATAAAAGCATTGTTATCTTTGTTCACTGAGAGAAATTATTGTTGGCAGTGGATATTTATGCTGAACTTGGGATTCTCATGCTTTTATTATGTGAAGTTAATACATTTTATTTATGTATTTATTTTATTTTCTCTATACATGTACATGTGTTTATTTGGTTTCCACTTTTTGCCTTCACTAAATTAAAGAGGCTTAAAATTTAATAACAACAATGTTTAACATAAGTCTAGAAACAAAAAACCACACAAAGAACGAAAGAAGGTGAATACAATCGGAAAAGAAATCAGATGATTGCTGCAATGAAATATTGAGCAACAATAATAATAATGCAAAAAAAGTAACATTCACATTGTCAGATAAAGTATATCTGTTATAGAATGCTTTGACTCTTGGGTTCAGTATGCAGTCATCAGTTAACTTTTTTTTCCTCCAAAGTCTCAAAAAATAGAGAATACTTATTTTTATAAATAAAAATAAAAGACAATTTGAAAAAACAGATTATGCCAAATCTTATAGACAATAGAAAAAGAAGAAATACTTCAACATCATTCTGCTTCATCTGGATATACCTGATATTAAAGTTGGAAAAAATATATTATTATAAAGGGAAAATTTACAAACATATTTCACTTATAAAGGAGGATGCAATATCCTAAACAACATATTAAACAGTTGAATTAAAAATTATTGTTCAAATAATGTACTTTGGTCAAAATTGAATCCAATTTATGTGAGAATTTGTCACTATATTCTTTTCTTTTTTTTCCTTTCCCTCACCCCTCCCTTTTCTCTGCTCTCCCCCTCCCCCACCCCCACCGTGTCATGAATTGTCATTAATTGTTCTTCATTGTCATTTGTGTTCTTCATTTCTGAAATGATTCTTTTTCTTTTTCACAGTTTTAGTTATATTTTTAATTGACAAAAACTATATATTTATCATGCCCAACATGTTATTTTGAAAAGGTATATATTGTGGAATGACTAAATCAATAAAATGGTTCTTTTTCAAGAAAAAAAAAAGATAAATGAAAGGAAATTCAAGTGATAAGTGACATCTTCTCCAGATGAGAAGGAATCAGCATAAGAACTCTGACAGTATGAAAAACAAATTGTAATAACACCCCTCCCCCACGAAGGATCACAGTAGCTCTCTGACAATGAATATTAACAAAAATGAAAAGTTTGAAATGGCAGATAAAGATTGTAAAATGTGGACTCTAAGGAAGTTTAATAAGATCCAAAAGAGAGTTGAACACCAACACAAAAAATTCAGAAAAAAACAATTCAGGATATTATTGAAAATCTTAACTGAAGAGATAGATGATTTTTAAAAATTCCTAAACAGAATTTCCAGGAAAGAAAGACTCACTGAAAGACTCACTGAAAGAATTTAGTTCCTTTTCTTTTTAGATATAGAGCCTCACTTTGTCATCCTCAGTAGAGTGCTCTGGCGTCACAGTTCATAGCAACCTCCAGCTCTTGGGTGATTCTCTTGCCTCAGCCTCTGGAGTAGCTGGGACTATAGGCACTCGCCACAAAGCCCGGCTATGTTTTTGTTGCAGTTTGGCCAGGGGTCGGGTTTGAACCTGCCACACTATGGGGCCCACACCCTGCTCACTGAGTCACCAGCACCACCTGAAAGAATTTTAATTCTAATAATAGCACGCAGAAGAAAGAGTTTCAGGGATTACAGATAGTTTGTCAAATTAATACTATCATAAATAAGAAATAACTAAAAATAATGAACAAAGTCTTCTAGAAATGTAGGATAATATGATAGTATATCTGGAAAACACCAGGGATTCTACTACAAAACTCCTAGAAGTAATCAAGGAATATAGCAGCGTCTCAGGTTACAAAATCAACACTCATAAATCTGTAGCCTTT